ACCCTCCGACAGTGCTGCACTCCCTCAGCACTGACCCTCCGACAGTGTGGTGCTCCCTCATAGTGCACTGGCAGAAGTGGTTTCCGTTTGGGATAGTTTGTTACTCTACAATTAGTGTCTGTTTTTAGGCTGAGCCTCTTTCATCTCACATTTCGGAGGCTGGTGAGGAACACACACAGAAGGATCTGAGCTAGAAGCAGGAATAAGCAATGGAACAGTAATACTCTCCAGCATTTTCATGGTCTCCAGTTTGTCATGGGAGCTGACACACAGGTAGATATATTGTTATTAGTGTTAATTTTTTTTTAATTTGTCTATGTGGTGTGCACCTTGCTTGGTTTAACTAATTGCTCTTCAGAAGGCGGTGAAATCTCTTTCTAATATATTCCACATCCAGTACTGGATGAGCAGAAATATCCTCCACTTTAAAACTGTACCCACCGCCTTTGGCCCTGGCCACAAACCACACGCTGTTCCCACCATGTCTAACCCATTTCCTGCCTGTGGCTCCACCAGACTCTTCACAACATTGAGGTCATATTGAGCCCTTCCAACTGCAAAACCCCCATCATGAAGACCTCTGTAACATTATGTGACATTGCCCCAGTTCATTAGCCGCCCAAACTCTCATTCACATCTTTCCTACCTTGACACGGATTTAATCCAGCACCCTCCTGACCAGCTTTCCACCTTCTTCCCTTCACTAGCCTGAGGCCATTCAAACCTCTGCTGCTATCTACACACCTGCATCAAATGCCATCCAGCCATTGATACTTGCGCTCGCTGACTGATACTACCTCCTGGTTAAACATCTTTAGCCTAACTTTGAAATCCCTCTGTGATTCTGCCCAGCTCTCCACCCTCTCACCCCTATCTCCTCCATTTCCACCCGAGTTCTCTGTGCTCCTCTCATCTCAGCCTCTGGAGCACCCCAATTTTAATCACTCCACCGCTGTTGGCCAGCCCTTTGGAAATTCGGGTACTTAATCTCTGGAGTTCCCTTCCTGCACATCTCCATACATCATGCTCACTTTCCTCCTTCAAGATGTTCCAGCTAACTCTACGCCCCTTTGACCAACCACTCCTGCCCCAATATCTCCTTGTCTGGCTCGTAATCAAATTTGGTTTTGCTCCCTCCACATAGCATCTTGGGACAGTGTAAGTTGTTGTTGTTCATGCCTCACTGCAGTCCATGAGGTAGAAGGAGACTGGAGGAGCGGGAGGGCCGTTTAGATGCCACACTTTCTCCTCTCTCGTTCTTCGCCTTGCAACATTGGTAACCCCTTTGTCCTTATCCCACCTGCACTCCTGATCACTGGGACCATCGTCCCACAAGGTACCTTAACAACTTTGCCCCATCTCAACCCGACTTCCCCAACCCTGTTGCCCAAGCATGACATAATTCGCACCAACTTTGACCAGGAGTCATGAGTCAGACTAAAAGTGTTAAAATCTCACACTCCCACAGGATAAGGGCTGTGTCGATTGATTTTCACCATGAATTCAAATTACTATTCGGTCTTCAGTGAGACATTATTGAATCACAGAATCCCTACTGTGCGGAAGCAGGCCATTTGGTCCATCAAGTTCACACTGACCCTCTGAAGAGCATCCCACCAGACCCACCCCTCTACTCTATCCCTGCATTACCCATGGCCAATCCACCTAGCTTGCACATCCCTGGACACTAGGGGCGATTTAGCATGGCCAATCCACCCTAACCTGCACATCTTTGGACTGTGGAAGGAAACCGGAGCACCTGGAGGGAACCCACGCACACACAGGGAGAATGTGCAGACTCCACACAGACAGTTGCCCCACGCATCCACGGATCAGATCTATGTCCAAGATCTTTCAGCAGGTAAAAGATATATCTGTATCCCAGCAGATGAATGTGAAGCCAATCTCCACTGTCACAATTCATCTCAATTCAGGAAAAAGCAATAGGGAGAGACATTTAAATCTAAGCTTTTAATATTAAAGATGGTCACAGTCAGACAGATGTGAAGGTTGTTCACAACAAGAACACAGCTGGAAGTCAAACACATTCTTCCAGACAGTTTGATTTTTATTAAATTCTCTCAATGATTGATTGGCCTGGAGAAATCATAAATCTCATTGCTCAAGTACACAGCTGGCTGAGCACATTAAGTCCAGGCACATTGTAAAATTAATGCCAGCAGTCACAGGCAGTAGCTGGTTTCGAGATGGTTTCTGGTTGGAATAATATGTTTTTCTCTCTATTCTGAAGTCTGCATGTAACCTAACATAAACTCAAACTAGGAACATGGTAGTCCCCAAGGGGAGGTAGTGGTGGCATTGTGTAAAATCACTGGACCGGTCATCTCACAACATCAGCTTCATGTTCTGGGGTCATGGAGCCAAATCCCACTGTGGCCGATGAAGGAAATTTGAATTCTGGAAAAAGATCTGGAAAGAAAAACTATGTAAGCACTCAGCTATTGTTAAAAACCCACTGAGCATCACCTACACTCTCTAGTTCAGGAAATCTGCTCTTACTCTTCCTACATGTGACTCCAGTCCCACAGCAACATGGTTGAATTCTCACTGCCCTCTGAGCAATAAATACCGGTCCAGCCATTCCAATAATACTGGTCCAGCCATTCCAATAATACTGGTCCAGCCATTCCATTAATAAATTTTGAAAAAAAGAGCCCTTGAGTTCACCCTTTCCCATCACATGACACAACAATATGGAATTAGTGCCTGATCACAGTGATCAGTCTACACCAGTCTGACATGTGAGGGGGGGGGGGGGGGGAATGACAGGTCCACAGTCCCTTGTTGCTCCCAGATCACGCTCCACCCACCAAATATCAGCTCTCAAATTACTCAGATACTCGATCCCAACAATGTTACTTCTGAAAGAAACCTTTCTAATTTGTATCTGAATGAGCCAATACTTTTTGTTACTCTGAGCAGCATCTCATCTTCCCTTTGGGGATCCTGCAGCCTCTCGGACTCCACATCAAGTTCTATAAGTTTACAGCCTGATTCCATCCTTTCATCTCTTTTTCCCACTCCCACACCTTGGCCCTGTCATAATATGGGTCACTTTCAGCGCAACCTACCCATTCTGTCCTATTCTTAACCCTCATTATCACTTAATAAACTTCTCTTTTGACTTGGCTTACCATCAATAAGCCCCTCAGATACATACCCATTTCATATTGTGCTCTCCATGTGCTCCGTCTCTACCTATCAGCTCACCTCTTCCTCCATTTCTCCCCAACTCTCAACCTCATCTTTACCATATATACCATGTTCTCCTAGCTGCTATAAGTTCTGATGAAGAGTCACTGGATTCGGAAAAGTAACTCTGCTTCCTCCCCACAGATGCTGTTGAGTTTCTTCAGTAATTTCTGCTTTTGTTTCAGCTCTCTACCTTCTGCAGTTCTTTGTTTTATTACAATACTCCCTGTTGCTACTTTCTGGGTCCCAAGAGAACACATGGAAGAACAACGCAGGAGGTTAGAGTTCAAACCGTATATCTGCCAGATCCGGAGCTGGTCATCGTAAGGAAGGTGGTACTGAAGGGGATCACCCACAGGGCCATGGTAATAAGGTCTCATGATGGATTCATTGACTGAAGAATGGGACAGTCCAATGGCATGACCAAACTCATGGACAGCGACTGCAAACAGGTCCATCTCTCGAGGATCTGCAAGAAAGAAAGAAAGGAAGACACCTTCTGAAACTGGCACATCATCCCTCATCACCTTCATTTTCATCAGTGTGTTCAAATCCTGCCATGGCCTTGCTGTATCCACCCCACCCCCAACATCTCTAGAACCACCTCCACTCCCACAGCCCTTTCAGATCTCTGTGCTCCTCCAATCCTGACCTTAAGCACATTCCTGATTTCAATTGTTCAACCATTGGCGGCTGGGATCCTAACCTTGGGAATTCCCTCCCTAAACCTCTATGCCTCTCCATCTCTCTTACTCCTCTTTTAAGAAGCTGCGCTTTAAAAACTTGCTCTTTGACTAGGGATTTAATCATTTGTGCAGATCTCCCACTAAGCGACTCCTTGTCACATTGTGTTTGAATTGCCTTGAAGTACCTTACTGCTTTACTACAATAATGTTCTTTTTGTTACAGTGAATACATTTCAAGGTGTCTCATTACCTCGCAAAGAAAGATTTCAATACATTGTTCAATTGCTGAACTGCCAACTGTAAAATTATGGCACTGAATGGTGTTGAGGTGGTGATGTTATTGTACTGCTTTGTTTCTAGCCCATGTTGGGGCAGAAACTTTACTCAAGAAAATCCTCTCACCTTCTTGATTCTCATCTAGATTATCTGCAGCTCCTGGTGAGGCCAAATTGGGTGGAAAATGCACGACTCAGAGTCGAAATAGTTCTGGGATCTGAATGACGTCATCAGACTTTGCATTTTAATGTGGATTTCGACTGCCTATGATGAGGAGCTAGCCATTCTTTCCTCTAACCTGTTCCATCATTTTTGGCTGATGTTTATCCCCATTCCATCTACCTACCGAAGCTTCAATTGCTAACATGTTCATTTGTCAAAACCCAACTGGTCACAGATTTTAAATGTTTCATCAAGCCCAGCATCTACTGCATTATTAGGGGTGCATCCCATCTTTGTATGATTCAAATTCCTGAATGGCCAGACTCCTCCACTGGTGGAAATGGTTTTCTCTCTCTCTCCTCCATCAATTCTTTCCAACATTCCAAAAACTTTACACCAATCACCCATCAAACCTTCTACATCTCCTGAAAATGCCAGACTTGTCAGTGTGTTGATTGGCTCAGTGCTGGATGGTCATGCAGAATGACAATAATATAGATGCAATACCCACAGTGGCTGGGGTTAGCGTCAAGGTCCAACCTCTCCCCTCAGTTTAAACAACCACCTGTCACCTCTCTCTAATCAGATTGTAGAGCTATGGCAACTTTACCTATGCTCCACAACCCAACTTATGGTCACATTCTTTTGATTTTTCTGTAATTCTTTCATGAAATGTGGCTCTTAACTGCCTTCGGATATGTCCTACAAAGCCATACAGTTCAAGGGAAATTAGAAATGGGCAACAGATCTTGGCTAGTAATGACCACATCTCATGGAAGAATTACAGAAAAATCACAAGAATGTGACCATAAGTTGGGTTGTGGAGCATAGGTAAAGTTGCCATAGCTCTACAATCTGATTAGAGAGAGGTGACAGGTGGTTGTTTAAACTGAGGGGAGAGGTTGGACCTTGACGCTAACCCCAGCCACTGAATTGGATAAATCATTGCAGGGGAATCATGTGCAGGTTTAGGGGAGGCAATGGGCCAGTGGTATTGAAGTCTCACATAGACCAGACAGAGTAAAGACAGTAGACTGCCTTCCTTAAACAGCATTAGGTAACCAGATGAGTTTTAAAAACAACAATCAATAATAGTTTCACATTTGCCATCACTAACACTGCCTACACAGTCCAGATTTTTATTAAGTGAATTGAAATTCCACAAGCTGTCACTGATGAGATTTGAGCCCATGCCCCCAGTGCATTAGCCCAGTGCTCTGAGTTACTGGTTTAGTGACAGCAAAACCGCCCACTCTCTCCCCCAACCTGTGCTAAGTGCTTCCCAAAAGCCATTACATCTTTTCAGAGTTGTGTTGCCCAGAAGTGTACACACTGCTCCAATCTCACCAGGGATTTGTAGAGCTGCAGAAAATGATTTTTTTAATGTTCCAGCTCTCTAGTTATAAAGGTCAGTGTCCATTAGCCTTTCTTAATTATTTCAACGAGCTTTTTGTTGCCTTGTGAAACCTGGGAGTTAACATCATAACAGTTTTGAGGGCAGCACTGTCCCCACAGGGGGAGGGAAGCCGCATCCATTGTAAACCCCCTGCTGCCTGCCTCTATTCATGTCAATCTCCATTCACTGCATCCCCAATCCTCACACTACATACCCAAACACTTTCTACATGGCTCGTAAACGGGAGAACAGATACAAATGGATAAACAAGAAAGCAATAAAACTGAACTGTAAATCAGACTTTCTGCCTGTAGCACTAGAACGCTGTTAAAGTTCTACCTGAGAACATTGCATCTAATGATCAAATGTCTCCTTTAGCCTGGGGCTCAGCAGATAGATTTTATGTGTACTTAATGTGCTTCCTCATCTTGCTGACAATGCCTTGCATCAGGAGAGACACCAGCATGTGAGCAGACATCCTCAAAGCTTCATGTAAAGGTCTTTACTGTATCTACAAGATGCATATCTCGTCAATGCATCAATATGTTTCTGACATCAATGAATTTCTCACAGTTTGGACCACTTCATCTGTGAAAGATTAGATTTGAAGAATTACTTCAATGCAGTGGCTGGAATACTGGCTGGGGCGAATAGAATCAAGGCTATTAAGAAGGAATTGGATAAATCACTGAAGGGGAATCATGTGCAGGTTTAGGGGAGGCAATGGGCCAGTGGTATTATTACAAAATTAAGGGCCCTGTTATGGCACAGTGGTGGTATCCCTACTCCTGAACCGGGAGGCCAGGGTTCAAGTCCCACCTGTGCCAGGGATGCATAATAACATCTCTGAACAGGTTGATTAGAAGGGTCTAGGCCCGAAACGTCAGCCTTCCTTCTCCTCTGATGCTGCTTGGCCTGTTGTGTTCATCCAGCCCTACACCTTGTTATCTCAGATTCTCCAGCATCTGCAGTTCCTACTATCTCTGAAACATTGCTGGAGAGACTCTGGCAGCATCTGTGGAGAGGGAAACAGAGTTAATGATACCTTTCCACTGACCCTTCTGAATTGGTTCTGATGAAGGGTCACTGGACTCGAAACACTAACTCTGTTTCTCTCTCCAGACACGCTGCCACACCTGCTGAGTTACTGCTTAAAACATGTGCGCTCCAGATCCTGAGTCGTCTATCACTGGAACAGTTTCTACTTATTTACAACAACAAAACAGTCATGATTGTGAGCATTTCTTTTCATTTACCTCTTCATATCCACAGCTATAAGGGCAGCAATACTGATCCTCTCACAATGCAGCACTCCATCGGTACTGACCCTCTGACAGTGCGGCACTCCCTCAGTACTGACCCTCCAACAGTGCGGCTCTCCCTCAGCACTGACCCTCTGACAATGCGGCGCTCCCTCAGCATTGACCCTCTGACAGTGCGGCGCTCCCTCAGCACTGACCCTCCGACAGTGCAGCGCTCTCTCAGCACTGACCCTCCGACAGTGCGTTGCTCTCTGTGTTGAGCCTGAAAGGGTGACCTGGGATTTTGTGCTGCAGTGAACCTCCTGACTCAAAGTCACAAACACCCCTCACTGAGCAATGGGCCGACACCTTTGAAAGGTCACCTTTGGCTGTGGCTCCAGTAAATGACAGTACCTGACGATCGGAAGGTCCAAGCCTCATCATTATCGAAATGCACATCTCCTGCAATTGGTTGGTCGCCGGGGAAGAATGCGTGAGCCACGGCACCCCCTGGTCCATCAAAGGGGTAGTGGTCTTTGTGTTGAGACCTTGGGAAATCGATCAGAATATCTGCGTTGTCTCCTGCCACCTCGTGGAAATTGAGGGGTGCAATGTCACTCCACACCTTCAGAGCATAATACATCAGAGCACGAATGGTGTCATGGCCTAAGCGACTGTCTGTCGGAAATGTTCGCACTCTACAGATCATAAAGCAAAGCTGTGAGTGTGGACTTAATTAGTGACAAAGATACAATTAATCACTTGTAAACATTAATGGGAGCACAATGTGATACTCTCGTCTTTTAAGCTTCAGTGAAAAAACGATAACGCTTTTAGCAACTGACATTTGCATTAAGATTAAAATATCAATAACTGAGTCTAGAACTTCATTGATGTAAGTCTGGTGTGCCAACAATGATTCCTCACCAATTCTCAGAAACCTTCCTAAATAGTATCACTGAACAAAAAATTAAGTTAGCCATTAAGGGCAGCTGTTGGGCAATTCCTCAATGACTTGTTGCACATATTTATCTGCATATGGTACGTCTCTATATCTCACAGAGAGAAAGGTTTCAGATGAGACTGGTCCAAAATAAAGGCCTTCGATTACGTGAGAGATCTGAAGAATCTCCAAGCATTCTCTTCCAATCTCAGATAGTTAAGGGGGAATTTAATCCTGCTGTTCAAGACTGTGAAGGGGAGATTGTGAGAATGTTGTCAGGATGCTGATAGGTTCAGATGATATTCACTTCAGTTTAGAAGAATTGGGCATGGGGGTGTGTGTAGGGGGCATGGGGGAGCCTCAGAGATACCCATAAAATTCTAACAGGACGAGACAAGGGTAAACACAGGAAGGATGTTCCCGATGACCAGGGAGACCAGAACCAGAGGGAAGCAGTCTAAGGATACGGGGCTGGCCATTTAGGACTGAGATGAGGAAAAATGCAGAAAATGGGGAGCCTGTGGAATTCTCTGCCACAGAAAGTGGTTGAGGTCTGTTGTGATTGGAACCAGGTGGATCCACTGACTATGAGATCCTTGATTGGGGCTGTTAACCTGGGCCAATCAGGAAAGCCCTGGCTGACCGATATAAACAGGGGATTCAGAATCTCCCCAGTTCAGGGGGACTGACACCAAGCTAGCTGGTCACAACCAGTGTACTGTGCACAAGTAAATAAAGGGTGACTTGACGATGGGATACCAGCCTCTGTGCAGTTACTTCAAGGCCAAAATATTAAATGTTTTCAAGAAGGAGATGGATATAATGCTTAGCGCTAAAGGAATCAAAGGGAATGGGGAGAAAGTGGGAACAGGGAACTGTGTTGGATGATCATATTGAAGTGCAGAGCAAGTTTGAAGGGCAGATTGGTCTACTCCTGCTCCTATGTTCTATGTTTCTAGGAGCATTGGTAACCTGACCTGAGAATTTTAAGATAATTGATCAATGAGCCAGAATTGGAGGTGAGGAGAATGTTTTTGAAGACGGTGTATTGTTATGGCCTGGGGTGCACACACTGAAGGGGCAGTGGAAGTAGATTCTGTAATAACCTTCAAAATTGTACAAGATAAACAGCTGAGTATGGAAAATATACATAATTATGAGGAAAGTGCAGGCAAGTGGGATTAATAGAATAGCACTTCCAAAAACCTGCCTCAATGTGCTGAATGCTGAATGATTCTATTCAATGGCCCCATAGGTAAAAAGACCATTTTGAATGGAAATGTTGTGTTGTATCCTGTGCAGAATGAATCAATAATCTCAATCAGAGCAATAGCTGGAGGTTTGTGACTCATCTCGACATTGTGGTCTGACGATTATCACGTGTGTTGACAGGTGAAAACCATTAGAAGTGAATGGTTCATGTCTGAGAATCAGCTGAGAACAGATTGTGTCTAGCTGGGATTCTGGGCTTTAGCGGGATGTCTGCTTTGAATCACAGAATAGTAACAGCTAGGAGCCTGGTTGGCCCATTGTGTTTTTGCCAGATCTACCTCAGAGGAATTAATTCCACTCTCCTGCCCCTTTCCTGTAGTCCTGTCAATTATTTTCCCCTTCAGAAACATATCCTATTTCACAATTGAATGTATTTCACACACTCTGAGAATGTTCTCCAGATCCTCACTATGTACAGTGTAAAAACATTTCCTCATGTTGCCTTTTGGCACTTTTGCCAAATGCCAAATTTATGAAGTGGGCAAGGCATCAGGGGGTTCCCAGGACTCGAGATTTTATCAGCATCGTGTGTCAGGGCCAAAGAGGCAGAAATGGAAACACTTTTCTTCATATTTTCACAAAGTGAGTGCCTTCACCATGCAGAATAGTTGAGGATGTTCCAATTGGGTAGATAGAATCACAGAGTTAAAAGGCATGGAAACGGACCCTTCGGCCCAACTAGTCCACAGCATCCATGTTGCCAAACTAAACTAGTCCCATGCAGAGAACTATTTCCTCAGATTGGGGGGGGGCATCTAGTTCAAGGGGCAAACTTCGAGCAGGGCTGTTGAGAGCTGATTACAATAAGTACCTCTTCATACAAAGGGTTGTGGAAATTTAGAACTGTCTCCCAAAATAAAAGGATGATGTTTATGGGCAGTTGTGCCTGGAATTGATCATTGTTGGGCTTGGATATCTAGATTTATAAAGTAATGGCAGGTAAAGGGATGGGAATTACAGCTCAGGCATGTTCTAACTGAATGGTAATGGGCTGACTAGTCTTCTCATCTTCCTCTAGACCAAAATTTGATTTACAGTCCAGGTGAGAGAGAAAGTTGGGTTGTACCTTTTATCCATCCCTGAGAAAGAAGATTCAGTTTTTAGCTAACCGTAATGTTGACGTTCATAAAAGGCAATTGGCATTATGTGATGTTACTGCTTAAGATTTAATGAGTTTAATAAACTTCAGTTGACTAAAGGACAATACCTTGTTTGTTATAAAGCAATCATTGATCCATATTTGATGTCATGAAGATTGATGCACCTGATGTTTGTAAAATATCAAAAAAGCATGAAGCACCTGATAAACACCAGCATCCTGATCTCAAGCTGCATAATCCTATAAATATCTCCTTGCTTTTGGGGGAATACGAACATTGACTGTGCCCCTCGTGCTACCAAGAAGCGAAGAAAACTGAAAGGTGGCATGGTAGCTCAGTGGTTAGCACTGCTGCCTCACGGCATTAGGGATCCCTGGTTCGATTCCACCCTCGGGTAACTCTCTGTGTGGAGTTTACACATTCTCCCCGTGTCTGTGTGGCTTTCCTCCCTCAGTCCAAAGATGCCCAGGTTGGGTGGAGAGGCCATGTTCAATTTCCCATAGTGTCCAGGGATGTGCAGGCTAGGTGGATTAGCCATGGGAAATGCAAGGTTACAGGGATAGAGTAGGGGACTGGGTTTGGGTGGGATGCTCTTCAGAGGGTCGGTGTGAACTTGCTGGGCCAAATGGCCTGTTTCCACACTGGAGTGATTCTATGACATTTGAGTAGGTTTGACTGTTAGAATAGTTTCTTAAACTTGTAAGTTCAATGTAACCGCCTCCTCCTCCTGGGATCTCTGCAATAGGGTTTGAGTTCAGGTTAGGTTTAGGACAGTTTCAGTGTATAATACTCAAAGGATTGCAGGAAAAGAGAGACTTGGATGTATATGTTCACAGATCATTGAACATGGTAGGTCAGGTGGAGTGAGCAGTGAATAAAGCATATGGTGTTCTCAGCTTTACTGATAGGGCCATAGAGTACAAGAAGAAGGAGGTGATGCCGAACTTTTGTATGACATGTATAAGACTGCAGCTGGAGTATTGTGCAATGTTCTGGGCGTCACCTCTTAGGAAACATTGGAGAGAGTGCAGAAGTGATTTACACGAATAGTTCCAGGGTTAAGAACCTTCATTTATGAGGAGACGTTCTGACTCTTTTGCTTGCAGAGAGTAGCAGGCTAGGAAGAGATTTGATATGTTTTCAAAATCATGTGAGATTTAGACAGAGCAGATGGGGTTGGGGGGGTGGGGTTGGAGGGGAATCTATTTTTGCTCATAATAGGATCAAGAAAGAGAGGACACAGACTTACAGCGATTTACAAACATAGCAAATGTGATGTGAGCAACGAAACTGCTCATACAGAGTGGTTCCAATGTGGAATGCGCTGCCTGGAAGGACAATCATTCAACTGAGGCATTGGATCGTTAGTTTCATAAATATTGTGCAAGGGTATGGGGAAAAGGCAGGAAAATGGCACTAAATCATGCCACTCATTGGATAGCAGGTGTGGACATGGTGGGCTGAATGGCCTCCCTGCGTGCCATTACACTCTGTGATTGTTGTGCATCCTCAGTTTGCATTGCTGGCTCAGTGACTGCTGTACCTTCAGCTGCATCTCCATTTTGGGAGCAAAAAACAGGAAGGCAGCGTATTATCTGACTGGCAATAGATTGGGAGAGGGGTGTCCTTGTAACACCAGTCAGTGAAGGTAAGAATTGCAGGGGTAGCAGGTGGTGAAGAAGGCAAATGATATATTGGTCTTTGTAGTGAGAGGATTGGAGTACGAGCGCATGGATGTCTTGCTATAATTGTACAGGGTCTTGGTGAGACCACACCTATGATTTGTCTGCAATTTTGGTCCTCATATCTGAGGAAGGATGTTGTGGCAATGGAGGGAGTGCAACAAAGGTTTCCCAGACTGATTCCTGGGATTGAACGAGTGATGTATGAAGAGAGACTGGACTGATTAGGATTGTATTCACTGGAGTTTAAAAGAATTGTGGGGGGGGGAGTGGATCTCAGAAGCTTGTAAAATTCTAACAGGACGAGGCAAGGGTAAACACAGAAAGGATGTTGCAAGTGACCAAGGAGTCCAGAACCAGGGGTCAGTCTAAGGATACAAGGTGGGCCATTTAGGACTGAGATGAGGAGAGATGTTTTCACTCAGAGAGTGATGAGCCTGTGGGACTTTGTGCCACAGAAAGCAGTTGAGGCCAAAACATTGAATGTTTTCAAGAAGGAGTTAAATGTAGTTTGTGAGGCTAAAGGGATCAAAAGGTGTGGGGAGGAAGTGGGAAGAGGGGACTGAATTGGATGATCAGCCGTGATCATATTGAATGGTACAGCAGGCTAGAAGGACTGAATGGTCTCCTCTTGCTCCTATTTTCTATGTAATTCTATGTAAACCTAGGTCCTCGATTTCTCTCTCTCTTT